ACCAAATTCTTGTCGCAGCGCTAGTTTTAGTGAACTCTAGCTGCTTATGCCACTTTGACTTCGTATAAAAATCTTCGCCCCACCTTTCAAGAGTTTTTCGGCGTAAACAAATTTCTGCAGATAGTTCGAGCGTACTGCTGATGCGTTTGCCTTAAAATCATAAAGCGAAGTCATGGAATTAACATTTCGGAGGAGTCATATTCGACTCCAACCACACGCACACTTCGTTTACTTGTTATCTCTTCCGCACCGGTTTCGGAGCCGTCACTTATATTCAGGACGAACTGAAAGTCACCCTTTAGACCGTCAACAGTCATATTTGACATTTAAAATGGTAAAGGTTTAAAATAGATAGTACTGTTTTACAAAATCTTATTTTTACATAATAATTAATTGAACTTGTACTGTACTGTACCATGTGCTTGTGCCGTTTATGCTGTGATTTACCGTTCACACTGTATTTTTCTACTTTCCATTGCTTCTGCTGCGCATCGCCAATCCGATTTCTGTATATTCCCCTCGGTTATGCAGTTTATGGCTGTATTTTGAAAAGTACGGCAGTTTGCACTACACACTCACAAACCACTCGTATAAAACTGACGATTCGAAATATTCACTTAAAACTTGTTTTTTTACCCCACTTCTGACATAAATGTTTTTATTAGTTTATAAAATTGAATACCTAACTATAAATTAAATGATTTCACAAACTGTTTCTAAACGTGAAGTAAAATGTCATCTGTTTGAACGCAGTGGTTAAACGCTAGAAATGTGTTCTTTATGTCTGCAGTAGTCCGGGATTGCGCTTGCTCTGTTCTAACTTTTTTTCCGTCTCTAATGTTAAGTTCTCATAATTGTTCGCTCCTTAGTGTTATTTTTGTTTCTAGCAATTTGTATATCCTTGCAACATCTTACTATAGAAGAAAATCCGAATTTGTTGTGCATCACGTTCGCCATCTACATCGGAAACACTACCATGCAGGACCAAAGGCACTCGTAGCACTGATAAGACTTCAGATTTGGATAGTCAATGCGCGCGATTTAACAAGACGCATCGTCAGATCATGCACCCGTTGTATACGTTACAAGCCAAAGATGATGAACCAAGTAATGGGACAGTGGCATGATTGGAAGAAGAGGTCTACCCTCTGACATCTTTTGCGATAACGCAACAAATTTTGTGGGTGCTTGCAACAAATTAGCTGAATTAAAGTAATTATACCCTGAACAGGGTATATTAATTTTGCCACGAAGTTTGTAACACCCAGAAGGAAACGTCGGAGACCATATAAAGTATAAATGATCACCGTGACGAGCTGAGTTGATTTAGCCATGTCCGTCTGTCTGTCTGTCCGTCTGTCTGTATATATACAAACTAGTTCCTCAGTTTTTATGCTATCGGTCTGAAATTTCTCACCTGTCCTTTTCTAACACAGAGGCTGCTCATTTGTCGGAACGCTATAGCATTTAGCTGCCATACAAACTGAACAATCGGAATCAAGTGTTTGTATGGAAAACTCTTTAATTTGACGAGGTATCTTCATGAAATTTGGCGTGTAACATTATTTAAGGTATTAATCCACTCCCGAAGAAATTGTATAGATCGGATGACTATAGCATATAGCTGCCATAGAAACTGAACAATCGGAATCAAGTGCTTGTATGGAAAACTCTTTCATTTGACGAGGTATCTTCACGAAATTTGCCCGGATTATTATTTAAAGCATTAATCTAATCTCCGAGGAAATTGTATAGATCGGATGACTATAGCATATAGCTGCCATATTAACTGAACGATCGGAGTAAAGTGCTTGCATGGAACATTTTTTTATTTGACGAGGTATCTTCACGAAATTAGGCACGAGTTATTGCTTAAGGCAACAAATTATTCTCCACAGAAATTGGTCAGATCAGATCACAATATCATATAGCTGCCATACAAATTGAACGTTCGGAATCAAGTTCTTGTAAGGAGCCTTTGTATTTGTGAAGGGTATTATAGCTTCGGCCAACCGAAGTTAACGTTTTTTCTTGTTTCTTGCTTATAATAATTATTAACTATTTTGATAATATTAATTAGGTTATAATATGTTACGTTGTTGGCTGGTACCCAGGTGAAAAATGGGCAATGAACTTTGAAGTGCCGAGAGTTTCAAAAGAACTAGGTGATCATTTTGCGAACTGTTAGTTTTGCATTGTAAATGCTATCAAAGGTAAAAATTCAAAGAAAACATTTTATCTTGATCTGTTATCGACATCTGCCCCAATACCTAATACAGATAAAAAACCATAGGGCTGACAATTATGACGAGCTGATCACTGACAAGAGAATAATGTAAATTGTCTCTAATAGCCTTTTCGCACAGACAAAGTAATTTAGTACATTGTGACTATAATTGAATATCCAGTTTAGCCTTTCACACAGACGGTTACTCGATTAACGATCACTTGTTACACTTGCTTGTGTTCTTCAACTTGTATTTATCAATGCATAAAACCAAATTTAAAACTTAGACAACAGCCCGCAGAGCTACTACTCTCCATTTCAACTCGATTTAAATTCAATTAAGAATTAATGTAGTAAAATAAGATTTTTATTTTGTACGGTAAATCGATCTAAATTAGCACTTTAATCAAGCAAAGGCTGTTTAATTGATCAATTAACTCCTGTGCGAAACGGCTATAAAGATGCTCATGTTAAGTTTAAAGATATTATGGGAGCTTATTCTGAAGAAAGAGGAAAACGCTTCCATTAATATATAATGAAATTTAAGAGACGTTGTCAAGGCCAGTATACTGAAAGCATGATAGGGGACTATTTGGGGGTAAATTAGGGATACTTTCACGACACATGACAGGAAAATTAGAACTGGTTATTTTTAACATTTAGAGTATATTTTATAATGTTTGTTGTAAGAATGACTCCTTAGTGGATGATCGTTATCTTTTAATAAATCATTTATATGTACAATTTTTGTCAATTTTTATTGAGTTGAATTTTATTTTTATTTTTTTACAAATAAAAGTAACTTCAGACCAAATTTTTATACTCTCGCAACTTGTTGCTACAGAGTATAATAGTTTTGTTCACATAACGGTTGTTTGTATCACCTAAATCTAATCGAGTCAGATATAGGGTTATATAAAATATATATAAATAATCAGGATGAAGAGACGAGTTTAAATCCGGGTGACTGTCTGTCCGTCCGTCTGTCCGTCCGTCTGTGCAAGCTGTAACTAGAGTAAAATTTGAGATATCTTTATGAAACTTGGTCCACATATTTCTTGATACCGTAAGACGGCTGGTATTTCAGATGGGCGTAATCGGACCACTGCCAGTAAGATACAAGCCTGTTATTTGGTACACAAGATTACGTTAGGAGGGGCATCTGGAGTTGACATTTTTTTAAAGTGGGCGTGTTCCGCCAGCTAATAGGTTTATTGTGCATATCTCCTAAACCGCTAAAGCTATAATAACAAAATTGAAGCAAATGTTTTAGCATCTCTACCCACAGTGTGAAAATGGATGAAATCGGGAGACAACGCTGCCCACTCCCCATATAACGGTACTGTTAAAAAATACTAAAAGCGCGATAAACCAAGCAATAAACACGCCAGGGACATTAAATTTTATCTCTAGGATGGTATGTGATGACTATATAAGAACCGTGTTCAAAATTAGTCAGTGGGCGTGGCCCCGCCCACTTTTAGGTGAAACCCCATATCTTGGGATCCGCTTAACCGATTTCAATCAAATTCGGTACATAACTTAATCTCATATAAAACTATTTTAAATTTCAATTGATGTTTTCACTTTCACATCGGGGTAAAACTTTGCGTTTAAAGTTCAAGCCCCTAGGTACTGAATATGTGGACCCCAGTGCCTATAGTTCCTTCTACCGCAAATATCGGTCAATCCACAAAGAAATCTCAAACGAGTATACCATCTGACTTTGCGAGAGTATAAAATGTTCGGTTACATCCGAACTTAGCCCTTCCTTACTTGTATTAAATTTAGCTTCGTTAGTTCAGTTTTTTTTAAATATATCTCATTTGAAGCTGATTTTAAAACAATTTTAGCTCACGCGAAGTAAATTTTGATTGTAAGCCATTTTGGATTTCGTTGACTAATGAATGTTGAATTGTTTCGCAACATTTTTATACTCTTACAACATGTTTTTAATAGTTTTGTGCCCCTAAAACTAATCGAGTTAGATATAGGGTTATGTATATATGTCCGTCTGTGCAAGCTGTAACTTGAGTAAGTAGTATTGTAGATGGGCTTAATCGGACTACTGCTACGCCCACAAAACGCCATTAATCAAAAACACACATCACATCACATTAGGGAGGGGCATCTGCCGTTGAACATTTTTTTTTTAAAGTGGGCGTGACCCCGACATCTAATAGGTTTAATGTGCATATATCCTAAACTGCTTAAGCTATAATAACGAAATTCACTGAGAACAAATGTTTTCAGCACATCTATCGACAGTGTGAAAATGAATGTGAAATCTGGTGGCAAGTTCGCTCGTTCCCCATGAGTTGGGGAATTTCTTAAAAATGGTACAGATCGGACTAAAGCTATTCAAGACTCCAGATACCTAATATGTGAACCCCAGTTCCTTGTATGTCAAAAATGGGTTGCATCGGGTCAATAATACCTTTAGCCCCGATATACCTAATATAATGATTTTCGAACTACTGGCTGACTTTATATCGCATATTTCTGCAAATAAGTAAGTTACCTTAGAAAAATTTACTGGAAGTATAATATTGGATATACCACAGTTAGGGCCGAAATTATGTGAAATTGGTTCACAAATTACCCAAGCTATCATATACTACATATATTGATTTTCTTTGTTCTAGCAAACCGTATGCACCTGGCCTTGATCCTGGGAAGTTGCAAGAGTATGAAATGTTCGGTTACACCCGAACTTAGCTCTTCCTTACTTGTTATTCGTATTCTTATTTTGAGGTATAAATACAACAAATATATGGTATGTATGTATTACCCGTGCTTAAAAATGCCGTGAGCCGGTTTGTTATAAGCAGTATGGCTTTCGTCGACCGCAAGTAGTGTTGATGGCAATAGTGACTCTCACTTGACTGACACTTTGTGATAGGGTATCTCCTGGTGTAGAGTAACTTTTATTATTTATGCGCCACGTTGGACGGCGATTGAGAAAATTGTGGAAATTCAATCTTGATTAAGTTTTATTTTATACATTTCTTTCACTTCACAAATGGTTAATACGTTATAAATTCTACCAAATCCACTATTAGCTAGTAGTGAACAACTGTGACATTGACAGAAAAAAAATAAATAAAAAAGAACTGCATTTACACCATAATTACCTCGTGAAGAAATAACAACAATTTAAAAATAGACTAGAGAATATTCATCATTTTTTATTTAAACAATTTTGCATAGAAATCAATTTGTTCTCATTAATCTGATTTCTCATCACTTAAAACAGTTATCAAATAAAGGATGTGTTGGTTATATATACAGCAGTTTTCCGAAATAATGAACACATTAATTGTCAGGCCAGTTCGTAATATCGAAATTTTCGTTAATTCGAGTAACCGAAAATTGCAGATTAATATATTGTTTATTAATTATTTGTTACAATTTAAAGCGCTTATTTTATATTTAAAAAATTTATTAATCGTCGTTTGCTTTGTTGGAATACGAAGATTATATTTGATGGCTTCTTTCAGATGCCCACTAGATAAATTGTTCGAAAATTTTCTGTATGAACCAACCAAATCACTGACTGAGAATTAAAGCCGAAAATATTAAATAAAAATATTTATTTGAAAAGGTCTAAGCATATAATTTAACGTTACTTACAGTTGGAAAAGCCGAACTCAACAATTTCACTATATCCCTCATTACCAAAGTATTCTCATTTTGCCTTAGGAATGACGAATAATCAAGATCATACTCTTGATCAAAATTACCCTGCTTTTACACTTAGGTGAAAAGGAAAAACATAAAAAACATAAAGAAATATTGATATAATAATTTCTTCTTTTGCATTTTTTTCAAGGCCTGTTTTGTATTCTGTTTTCACTACTATTTTATTTTTTTCAACTTTCGGTTTTCGTTAAAACGAATATTCGTTATTTCGGAATACTACTGTATTGTGATAATTATTTTTATTTTTATCTACTAAAGTAGGAAATAATCAGTCGGCATTTTTAACTTCAGAACTACTGATTCTGTAGAATCTGAGGCAAATACACAACAAAAGAAAAAGGGGAACAATAACTCAACAGTCAAGGTGAGTTATTACTAAAATGTATCCTTAAAAATAACTTAGAAATTTAAAAAGTGGGCGGTAATCCCTCTTTAGTAAATACGGTGATATATATTAATTGATATTATCCTTAAAAACACCCTATCGAATGTTATGACTTCAAACTCCTCGTAATTCCTCTCCTCATGATTTAAAACAAAATCTAATGGTGTTTAAATAAACTCTGAGCTCTGAGAAAGTCAGATTACGAGGAGTATGTGAAGTAAAGAATTGAGAAAAGCGAAGTAAAGTAATTTCAGGGAGTTCTGTGAACACTAGAGCTGCAAAACTATCGAAACTACTCGAAAGTTTCAATAGTTTAAAAAACTACTCTCAATAGTGTTTTGAAATAAACTAGGAGCACTAAGAAAGTCAGAGTAGAAGGAGTATGTAAGTAAAGAATTGAGAAAGGCGAAGAAAGGTAATTTCAGGGAGTTCTGTGTAAAATACTATTGATAGTATCGATAGTTTTTTCCTTCTTACTTTTCGCTGCTTTAAATTGAGAGAACTTGGCTTCGGTTGACCTCGAAAACGTAAATTACAATGTATAAGAAAAAAGTATAATGTTCTGTAATGCAACCGAAATATTTTTGACATTGCATTATGGTGTGAAATACGTTAAATCGGCAGTCGATACGCAGTGACAGAGAAAATCTCGATTCCATATGAAGTTGATGCTTTTTGATATTTTCATATGGAACGATGGCGGCGTCAAGAATGATAGAATACAAGATTACCCCAACATTTGTGACGCAATTCTTTTGAGTTGAGAAACAAAAGCATAGAACAGTATGAAAATTGTAAACAAAATCGTAAAAACGTTTGAATAGAATATTGTTACAGGAAATATGATAATATGTTGGTTATTTAAAAAAAAATATACTTTTATCTGTTGACAACATAAAGGCCAATATAGTGAATGCTTGTGATGTATCCAGGAGTAGTTTCTTATATTATACATAAACATATACATAATATATTTCTGATGTATTCAAATGAAATAATAGTGAAAAGATTTTGAAACTATAATTATTATGAATATGAAATTCATTTCTCCTACAAAAAATTTAAAAACCTTTGCACAATCCCTTTTATCAATTTACTTATTGGCTATTATGTTGTCAATAAATAAATGTATTTATTTGAAAATGAGCGAAATGTTTTCTCGCCACATTAATCTATTAACTTCGGTAAGATTTTTTCACTATAAACTAATAAATTAAGTATTTTTCAGGAATTAACAAAAGTGTTTAACGCATCCAAAACCTAATTAAAGTGTAAAAAATATGTAAGTTTAGTAACTTGTATATTATTTTACGATTTTGAAACCACAATTCTGCAAGCAAGCCAAGAGTGAAAAGATGATTTTAATTCTTACCATGTTATTAAAAATTAGACTTAACATTTGGTAGTACCAGACTATATCAATATGTAGCTATATTAAGTGACATTTTTGAATTTTATGAAAATTGTTGGTAAGTCTAGTCTAGGATTTTAAAACTAGATTAAAATTAGAGACCTGGACTTCGGGGCAATGGTGACAAGCAAGATAACCAAGTAGTTGAGGATAAGGCGAAAGCTCTGCTGAAAATCCATTTTACAAGTGCAATCACTACTAATCAAATAACCCAAACAGCATACTAAAGACCGAGTAAACCAGATTGGACGTTAGCTAATGAGATCTTTACCTTTGGAACGGTTCGATGTGTAACATGCGCAAGGTAAGAAGTCCCAGGTGCAACGCCATAATTCCCGTTCTACTTCAAAAAGAAGAGAAGCATATCTTGATTCACCACGTGTCGAGCGAGGAATACAAAACCAACTATGTATTAGTAGGTGGGTGAAGGCGGAATTCACGTCTGCTCACAAAGGGGAGAGCTTAACCCTTACTAAGGAGCTAAGTTGTGAACTAGTTATTACAACTCTTTTCACGTATTCTAAGGCTGCCTAAATTACCTTAGTTTGAATGAGGTAACGTTCGGGGGGTCGTACTAGATCAACGGGCGTTGTGTATACTTGAAATTTAATATATTTATCTAAACAAGCTATGAGCACCTAACGATTTCTTGCAAAACTTAAATCCAATTATTTTATATAGAAAATGATCAGAATGACAAGACATGTTCATGCTTGGGTAAAAATTGAGCTCATCACCAATGGTACACTTGACGTAAAATTAAAAATTAAAAATAACTAACTAGACTTAAGTAACATAATGTATAAAAGAAGGAAAAATAGAGATAAGGTTTCTTAGTTGTATAACAGACGTTCACAGATGTACTGGCATATCAAACTCACTAGAGTTTTCTTTTTAAAAACATTCCGTGATCCGGCCGGAAGCATGTTTATGTTTAGTTTTTTTTGAAACATATACGTGTTTGGAAATATTAAACTATTTTGTTAACTTGTGGTTTGAGAGTTAATATCGAAAATCTTTTGTGATTAAAATATTGTATATATACACATGTACATATTATATATTAGGACCTAATAAAGGACATCTCGCTTCTAAAACTAATTTTAATTATGTATACTATTTTGTGAGATGCAAACCAAAACATACCCATGGAATATATTAAAAATCTCAAAATTATTTCTTTCCATAGTGGCACCACCAGAGTTTCGTATCATGTTCTCCCTGGCCGGAAGTTAAGTGGCGATCTTGCAAGATGATAAATTTATCGCTGGTGGACTAAAACAAAAACAAAAAAACAAGAAAAGACGTTATCTTCAGTTGCACCGAAGCTTTAATACCCTTCACAAATGAAAAAGGTTCCTTACAAGAACTTGATTCCGATCGTTCAGTTTGTATGGTAGCTATATGATATAGTGATCTGATCTGAACAATTTCTTTGGAGATTACATTGTTGCTGTAAATAATAATCGATGCCAAATTTCGTGAAGATATTTCGTCAAATAAAAAAGTTTGCATACCAGCACTTGATTCCTATTGTTCAGTTTGAATGGCAGCTATATGCTATAGTGGACCAATATCGGCCGTTCCAACAAATGAGCAGCTATTAGTGAGGAAAGTATAGGTGCACTATTTCAGATTCATAATTTAAAAACTGAGGGACAAGTTCGTATATATACACACAGACAGACGGACATGGCTAAATCAACTCAGTTCATCATGCTGATCTTTATGTATATATTTTATAGTAAAGCGTTTATAAGACAAGTATAAACGAGTATTTTTATACTACTTATCTTCGTAAATGTTTCTAGGAACAACAAAAATACCACCACCTTATTACTGTAAGCTCTATTTTATTATATAATTATAATATGTATGTATTGCGTATTATGTATATTAATTAATTAATACATAGGGTGATCCATTTCGAGGTTCCCTACTTTTTTAAAGAAAAAATACAGACAATTCGAATTTATTGGTGAATGTTTTTTATTATTCGAAAGAACAATCATTGACATTTATTTTTTTAAGATTATCTCTTTCAAATGTTTGCCGCGGCTACGTCTCACTCGATCCATCCGTTGGGTCCAATTTTCGATGACTCGTTCGAGCATTTCGACTGGTAACTAGTGAATACACGCGTGTTGTTTTGCTCCAAGGCCTGATTCGAAGCGAGATTGTCCGCATAGACTTTAAACTTCCCACAGAAAAAAATCTAACGGTGTTATATCACACGATCTGGGGGTCAATAGACCGGCCCAAAACCCTAAATTATCTGCTCACCGAAGTGTTCCCTCAATAAATCCATTGATTAATGTGGTGTGTGGGAAGTGGCGCCATCTTGTCGAAACCAAATAACGCCGAGACCATGAGTTTCAATTGAAGGCATTAAATTGTCGGTTAACATGGCGCTATAACGGTCGCCATTGACGGGGACGTTCTCACTGGCATCATTTTAAGAGAAATATGGTTCGATGTTAAACCCGCCCCCAAACCACACCAAACCGTTGTTTCTCTGAATAAGATGGCAGCTCTTGAATCTCTTCAGGGTGCTCTTCGTCTCAAATGCGGCAATTTTGCTTGTTTACGTACCCATTGAGCCAGAAATGGGCTTCATCGCTGAACAAAATCTAGCTCAAAATCGTCGGATCTTCGTGGAACTTTTCAAGAGCCTAAAGAGCGAAGCAAATTTGCTTGGGAAGGTCGAGCGACTCCAGTTCTTGAATAAACCGTATTTTGTACGCTTTAAATTTAAGATTTCGGTAAAATGCGCTAAGTCATTCCATACTTCAGTTCGAGTTTCTGCGAACGGCGCCGAATGGACTATCCGCGGTCTTCGTGTACACTCTCATCTGTCCTCCGAATATTGTTCAATTATGAATGCTGGATCTCAAGATGGGTGATGGTGTTGCGAATAGTACGCACATTAGGCCGATTATGTTGACCATAAGTTGAGCGAAGCGCGCGAAACACATTATTTGCAGAACGTGAATTTTTGTAATACAGTTGAACAATTTGTTACCGTTGTTCAGGCGAAGTTCTTTTCACGATGAAATGCCAAACAATACTAAACAAAAGTAACATAATAGCTTGACACGGCTCACGCGTGATCTGTTAAAAGGCGGCTATAAAATGTGAGAACTTTCACTGTATTGTTTAAGCTTACCACTTCTGCTTAATTGGAGTCCTCAAGAGTTAGAGTTTTAGAGTTTGGGTACACCTGTCAATGGTATTTTATAAATCCATTTGTATTTGTCTATTGCTATAGGTTTACTTGTTTGCTACAGTTCCCAAGAAGTATTTAAGCTAAAATCAAATATTGATCCTGCCAAAAACATGGTTTTCTCAGAAAATTATTAGGACAGCAAAAACACATCCACTTCACGCAGTATCTTAATTGACATTTTAAAAATAAATTTCCAAAATTAATTGGATGTAGGTGGCCATTAATTGCCAATGTTATAATCCGGATCTCAGAATTTTTAACGAATATAGAATTTAGCTTCGACGAAATAGGTCGTTGGACTCTATCCATTCAATTTCCATCTTCAAAATTAATTTACTTAACTTTGAATATACCCATAAGTGATTTTCCCTAAGATCGATGTCAAAATATATTTAGTTAAAACAATAATTTTATTTATTTAAGTAAAAAAGAATTCAAAAGTCAAAACATTAATTGAAACAAGTAAGGAATGGGTAAGTTCGTCAAGCTTGAGAAACGGAAATCAGTATATTGGCGATAAGGGACGTAGCCGACTACGGTCCTGACCATTAAGGTTAAAGTCAGCCGGGCATTTTGACATTACTCAATTATACTGGAGAACATTTTTCCATGCATTTGATGAAGATCTAACTACAAATTCGGCATAAAGTCTAGCGTAATTTGTTAACCGATTTCATACATTTTCATCCAATTATTATACATATATCTTACATACTGATCGAGCTGGCTAATCAGTTGACCGATTTCATACATTTTCATTCAATTATTATACATATATCTTACATACTGATCGATATATACGGTATAAAGCTAGCCGCAGTTTTGAAACTCTTATATTGGGTATAAGGAACTAGGGCAGTAATGACCCGATTTTATCCATTTTTGGTATCACAACATACTATTACCCGAAAAAATTGCTCACTGACTTTTATTAAGATACCTCGTTGTCAATATAACTACGGGTTTTGATCTGATTTTACTTTTTTGTTGTTTGTAATCAGGGAAAAGGTAATCAAAAATATATTTTAAATATCTCTTATATTTTCAGTAAAATATCAGTTATAAGCACTGTGGTAAGCATACTCGATATTTGAGGGTTTCAAAAATTATGGTCCGATACCAGTTCCTTAGGTATAGGACTCCACCTAAAGCTGTCACACTCATTGTCTAATTTTGATACCGGCTGCTATGAAGTCATTGTGTACCAGCTCGAACCAACCGTTAGGAGAATAAAACTATAATATTCTGTAGCAAACAAAATATACATAAATTCAAATATTCTAATGCTTTAAATAAAGCTATAACCAAGTAGAAAATGCTAATTTTGGCTTAATATTTAGTTAGTAAGTAGATTGTATCATTGAACAAATTAAGTTTTCCAGGTTACAAACTGCAGGGATTCTGTTTACCTCTTAACATAATCGTATTGATTAAATCGGGTTTGTTTGTTGGGCTCTATTTAGACAATTTTTTTTTTCAATAAGGTTATTGTCTGTGCTTTGAGGTATCGATACCTTTTTTGCAATTGTGCTTGACTCAGGTTTTGCACAACAAAGGTTTGTGTTTTGGACATTATTCTGATATAGTTTTGTTTAAATTTTATTGGGCCATAAGGATCAACATACCCAAATCGTGAGTCTTGTAAATTTTTTTAAATGTCTATATTATATTCTGACGTCATCACATCATTGAAAAAAAACGCAGCTTACAAACACAAGAGGCATACCTAAAAAACCTTAATATGTTAAAAAGCTGGCCAAATTTTACTACTGAGTATAAATGTTTTTTGCCATAGAACTTTGTTCAACACAATATTTGAGTTAATGTACATTTTGTTTGATTTTTCAGTTTGTTATTTTTTGTTTTTTTTTGGTTTTGCCTTAAATTATGATGATTATGAAAAATAAAACTGATAATATTTATTTAACTGTATTATCATTGTTTTTGGTTTTGAAAGAATTCACTGACAAACTGTACATCAACCGATATATTCGGCAATATAATACAGAGGGTGACGAAAATCTGATTTCATTTATACTTGATGTTAAGCCACATATTGGTATAAAATTGTCGACTTAATTTCACCTAAACATCACACACATGTTCCGATAGATGTATATGATATAAAGAGGACCGGTTTTAATTATCAACCCTCCCCTTTTTTTCGTATATCATTGGCATGTACTTTCCCATATCAATAATATGATGAATATAGTTATTTGTGTTAGTAGTGTTGATTAATATATAATTATGTCAAATATGTTGTAAAAAAGTGTGAGCTACTACATAGACCATTTCAAAGTTTGAAAATATTTCCCCGTATTTCATTGTTGTGAATGGCGAAGGTATAAAATGTTTGGCTTCACGCGAACTTATCCTGGCTTATAATAACAATTTCCAAGCTAATATTTAATATTTTTTTGTGTTTGTATTCGTCGTAATACCTTCAGCTGCTGAATTACTTAACGAAATCAATTGCTTATTATTATAATTTTTGTTGGTATTGTTGTTTCAAGTCAAATATCTGTATATGACTATGATTTTTTCACTAGAGATTATATATCTCTCTTAGTTGTTTAAGGGTCGACCAGCGGTATGTATAAGAATGTACCTACGTACTCGTACATACAAGTATGTATGTAATCCATATTATTAGTTTTGAACCATTGGCATTATTTGTGGTTCACTCATACATACATATGTGCGAGGATATCCTCAAAGATTTTCTTTAAGTTTTTTTAAACATAAATTGGCTATGGATAATTAGCGAACTTTGGAATATAAGTTAATGATGTCTTTCCAGAAATTAATGACTCACTATCAAAAGCCTGATATAATTTTTGGCGAATATGTTTTCTGCTATTTCATTTTATATAGCGATATACTTTGAAAAGTGTTCTGATAAGTATACACCAGTTAAAATGAGTTCACCCCTAAAGCATTGCTAATTAGCTATATTTAGGAATAGATGTCCAATCGTTTTGAAGAATTAACCAATCACAAAGGTTTTGTTCATTTGACCACGCCTCAGTAATGATTGGTTAAAGCTTTAAACGAAATCAAAGTAAAATTAGGTTGAGGCGTGGCTAATTTTTTGATGTAGATTGGTCTACGCTCATGTATATTTATGCATATTTGTTCTTCTCAGAACCACGAATTCAAATGTAAATATGCTTATACATACAAGTATATGTATATCCAATAGTGCATGCCAAGCTATGTAACTATTTGATAGACTATTTAACAATCCAAATGTGTACTATGCACAGCAAAGTACGGATAAATATGTATGTACTAATGTAAAATATTGTACAAAACATAAACAAATTTATAATTGTGTTTTTATTGATTACACTGGTAAACAAAATTAAACATGTTTTTTTGTGTGTTATGAAGTTTCTTACTAATTTGACGTCAGTGATTCTCATTTTCTTTCTAACAGCTCTAGTTTTAGTGCTACAGGTACTTCTCGAAATATCGTTACTCGGCTTACTTTAATTAATTTTTAGGATAAACAATTACTAAATTTCATAAATAAACCGCTATGTCTTCAATAATAAGAACTTTTTTAACTGACTACATGTTTAGAGAATGCTGTTTAAATGCGTCTGATTCTGTAAAAAAGGCCTATTTGGATTACTTTGGAAATAAAATACATAAAACATAACTGACTGATATGCCTCGATCTTAAAACGCTAAATTTTCTTTTGGGCCAACAAGGAGGATATACCAAATACCCTTGTTTCATATGCTTTCG